GTTCAGGTATTTGGGAACGACAGTAACAAATCAAAAACCTGATTGAGGAGGAAATTAGGAGGTTGAACACGGGTAATGCATCCTACCATTCAGTCCAGAACGTTTCGTCTTCCCGTCTGATGTCTAAAAACATAAGAATTAGAACATGGAAAACTATAATTTTGCCTGTGGTTCTGTATGAGTGTGAAATTTGGTCTCTGACATTGAGGAACATAGACTGAGGGTGTCTGAGAACAAGAGACCTTACGAGAATATTTGGACCCAAGAGAGATGAGGTGACAGGAGGTTGGAGAAAAGTACATAATGAGGAACTTCATAACTTGTTCTCTTCGTCATGTATAATTACGTAGAATTCTCAAGTCAAAGAGGATTAGATGGGCAGGGCATGTAGCACGAATATGGAGAATGGGAATGCACATAGGATATTATTGGGAAGCCAGAAGGAAAGAGACCACTACGAAGATCAAGGCATATGTGAGTGGATAATATTAAAATGTATTTTAGATAACATGGGGTAGTACGGACTGGATTGATGTGGCTCTGGATAGGGACCAGTGGAGGGATCTTGTGAACACGGTTATGAACCTTCGGGTTCCATAAAATGCTGGGAAGTTCTTGAGTAGCTGCACGCGGCTTCTCAAGGACTCGGCTCCATGTCATTAGTGGTTGGAGAGTTTTGTCTTCTGGGGTATAACGCCATAAAAGTCCCATTGAAAGTCGCGCGACGTTTCAGAAGAACATCGCCTCCGTCAAGCCAAGCAAGAAAGCAGCGTGAAGCGGACTCTATTCCTGGCCAATACCTGTTCTGAAATGAGACCGGCTCGGGTACAAGAGTGCATACCGGGTAATATGTAGGTTGCTTATTCCTGCGTATTAAGGGGTGACCGATGTAACAGTACACGATAGTGCTGCTGTCTTGTCAGATAAATTGGCTATGGCAGTCACATAAGATTGTAAAATCAAAACCTGAGAAAGTGATGAGATATTTGTTTTTACAAACAAACCCAAAAGTCTGAACCTGTGGACCCTTGCTTCTCAGGTTAGACGTTTTGTATTGTTTTCACAGATACATTTCTCTTCAAGATGGCACACTATCGTGGCTGGTGGGGTGGGATGGGGAGTGCGGGCGTCGGAAACTTTGCAAGTTACTGGGATCATTTCTAAAACGAAGTATTTGTAATCGTATTTGGATTCTCGGGCATATCTTGAGCAGCCGAACAACTAAGTGCCTAGGAAAGGGGCTGCACATTGCCAAGTACACTGTTATGAACAAAAACTTGTAGAAGCATACTTCATCCCGAAAGTACGCTCTTAATGCGAGGGAGAGAGAGTCAGTAAATAGATCAGAAATGGAAGTAAAACATCTCTAATGGATGTAAAGGATTTTCTGTGTGTATCACTAGGTAGCAGCACAGTCCAGCTTCATTTACAATCTAGGTAGCAGACACACAGGCGCATGTTCAGAGGCTGGTTTCAGTAGTGAAATGAGAATACTACCGAAGAGAAGTGTGCTCCTGTTTCCGTTTTTGTGGGCAAAAGTGCTCAATGTAAAGGGTATTCATGGAGAAATATTTCGTGTTTACGGTGGGAAGTGTCTGTCGCGTAAAGCGGTTCACAACTGGATGGCAAACGTTTCGTTGATGACGAAGAGGATGAAACGGAGGTGCGGACGTGGCTGAGACAGCAGTCAGAAGACTATTGTGCTGCGGGTTTCGACGCACTGGTAAAGCGATGGGACAAGTGTATCAGTGCTGGTGGAGGATATGTCGGTAAATGGTTCGAATATCACATGTTTTAGTTTTTATATCCAATCGCGAGCTGTTTACTGACTTCATCGTGCATTACTGGACATAGAGTCGGCTGTGGTTCGCTCTCTGCGTTAACAGACATTGGTACCGGTTGTAGGATAGGTTTGCCAGTGCACAGCAATATTCGTACTGTAAGTGTGGCACATTTGAAGCTAACCGTCTCATCGTGATATTTGTAGATGCCTCTGAGGTTTGGTGAGGAGAAAGAAAGTTGACGAGGACACAGTCTGCTTCTCGTGACCACCCCAAAAGGCAGAGAACATTATTTCGGGACCTTTGAGTTGCAGGCTTTCATCTTTTAGTAACGCATTCATCCAGACTTCATAGTTTGTATTGTGCTAGTTCGCTTTCAAGGAAATAGGCAGGGCTTGAACTTGTTTCTGTTGTGTGCCTAATAGTGAGCAAAGTTCGGATTGTATTATGTTCCTGTTATCTAACTTTTAAGCTATAGCCCCCGTCCCCCATACGCTCGAATATTGGCGACAGAGGTGTCGGGACGCGTGCTGCAGCGTTGTGTTCCAGTGGAGCAAGCCAGAGTACGCCGCGTCGCATGTAGCAGCGTCCCGTCACAGAAGTGTATCCAGAGAATGTATGCCTATGCTTTTAGTCAGTTCATAGCAGTTGTGCCGTATGTAGAAACTACACACACAGGTTGCGACTTATGATCCCTACAAGTATACGTGAGGACACAGAGCCGTGCTCACTGAGAGATCAGACTTAGTCTCTTAGCATTTGCATAGCAGCTCGAATATAAAGCCGTTGAATAGACGGTGCCAGCCTAAAGAAATTATTTGGAAGTGCTTAGCGTTAGGAGATAAATACAGGGTTTGTCCGGAAAGTAATGCAATTTGGATCGGCCATGTGGCATGTTTAACGAATTCTGTCAGCCGACCCAGTTTGGATATTAGTTCCTTTTAGTTTCTTGGGGTTGGGTGACACTGAGTCCACTTGGTACGTCAGCCATTGTTTGGCCTTTTGTACCAGCACCTGATGATAGATGATGGTGATTGTGATGGTGATATATTCGTTCGGTTTGTTGCTTTTAATTTCCGCTTTGTTTGCTTTGTTACTTTCAGATTGTGCATGCATTGTCAAATTGTCAAAATGAGCTCTAGCAAAGAAAATTGATTTTATTACTTATTTTATAATGCCTGTGGCGTGGTGTACAGGACGTTCGGAAGAACTTGATTCCACATCGTTATCGAGTTAAGCGCCAGCGTAGTGTAGCACCGAATAACTAACATACGCATTATGAATTCACCTCTGTTATAATTTAGAAAGAGTCGAGGGTTTTGCAGCACGTAGGAGTATTGGGAATGCCCGGCACCAGACTGCATGCATGTTGCCTGTCGTTGCCATTGAATATTACCACCGTGCAACCCAACAGAAGTCGGGAGACCGAGTTTATATGGGTTCATATTCCGGGCAGTGAGGCTGTGGCGAAGCAGTTAGTTGGACAGCCGTCCCTGCTCACCGACCTACTTAGGAGGTCCCTACAGATGTGAGGCGCTCGACGCCCGCTGTGGGGGCTACGAATTGGCAGCGGCGTACCGTTATCAACCGAATAGAAGGACGCAGATGATCGGCGGCGAGTCGCCACTGTCCGGCAGTTGACCCACCAGGCCCTTCGTTTTCAGGGAGGCAGCGTATGCATTTGTGGGAGTTGAAGTTCCCCCTCATGGGTGGAGAGAGGACGCTCGGGGAGGCCCTCAGCCTGTCCCTGGAGCGCTCATGGGAGCACGGTCGACAGGGACCGAGTGCGCATCCATATACTGCGAGTATAGGGACGTCTCCCATCCCTGCCAGCAGGGATGAGGAGGTCGAGAGGGGCACGAGAGACAAGAAAGGAACGTCGCCAAGGCACTGTTGTTGTCACTCGCACTCAGCGTGGGCGATGACAGCCTAAACGCTTGAGTCTGGATGGAGGACAACAGTGACACATGCGATGTCTGTTGGCAGACATCACTGCAGGACTGCCGGAGCTGCTCTAGCGGTGCCCTCTGAGTACTTGTGGGTTCGTCATGAATGGTGCCCCGGGGCGTAAGTGGGGCTGCAGCGGGCTGACAAAGGCTCGGTGTATACTCCCCCTGGACATCGGGTTTCAAGCAGTACTTAATGTGTGGACGTCGGCGTCTGTTAGGGTGGCTGCAGAACGCTCTGCAGGGTCATGTTGGACGGAGCTTACCACCTTAAGGAGCATGGGTCTGATTGTAGAAGGTATAAAGGCTGGACCACGGGCAAAGCGAAAGGACAATAGTCGAGACCAGTATGGCGTTGTGGAGCCATTCACGAATATGGGCGTGGGCGTAACAGGGATGCGGAATTGGAGCGGGGTAGATCCTAGTACGCCTGGAGGGTCTAGGGTCCAGCATCCTTAAGGAGGGAGAAATGTGGCATTGCGGCTCACAAACAAAAGCGTTGCGATCTTTGTATTAAGGAGGGTCCATTACTAGACAACTACAGGCATCGACCTCCGACAGTGATGCACCCCCACAATAGTCGAAGAGAGGCAGGAAAACAAAAATATAGTAACGAGGCTTACGCAACCCGGGAGGCGAGGGCCAGCAGCGGACCGGAAGACATATAGTTGCAAGACTCCCAGAGTCGTGAGACAAAAATGCGTTCGTGGGACGAAGATTGCCTCTACTGGCGAGGACTACCGGCAGTTTACCCACCCAAACGGAAGAGTCCCTGTTACGAGAGCCAAAATTTGGCGACGTGTCTGACGACAGCCAGCAAGGAACAGACTGTACACTGTGTAATTATTTGTGAATGAGACGGGCCAGTGTTCTCAACTGGGAACTCCCGCGGGTGGATTAGTCAGTCACGTGACATTTCTTTGCGAAATTTGGAGTTGCTGCGAATCTATCCCCCGCTGCATCAGTTCCAGTCAGTTGCCTAACATGTAGTGAAATAACTAGTGTATTGGCACGATTGTACTGCATTCGCAGTGTGGCATGGACTGTGTTCGTATGTTGGTATAGCTGTATGCCTTTATCGTCTCTGAATGGAGAGTACCCCAAGTGGTGAACAGGAAGACCCGAGTTCTGCTATTTTGTCCCCGACTCTGGATGTGATCTATTCCATATAACACATTTCAGGACAGGCAGAAGCAATGAAATGTAGGTTTGATCAATGTTGGTGTCTTTTCAGTGTGTGTTTGTTTGTTTGTTTGTTGTCATTGCTGTGTAGTGTGTGGGCCAGCAGAATTCACGTGTGTGGATGGCACCTGCATAGATATAAGGAGGAAGTGTGACAGACATGCAGATTGTCAAGACTTCAGTGACGAAACAGACTGCGACCATATTGGTGAGACTTTCTTTTATTTGTTTGTGTTATATAGATTGCTGCATTGGACTGCAGTTTCATTTGACAGAACGTGTAGGCGATTTTATATAAACGCTGATCGTACATGCTATTTTAAATTATTTAGAAAATCTGATAGTTGTTGAACTCCGGTTGGCAGGAGTTGAAAAGTGTTGGGCGTTGATAAGGAGTCATCCAATGCTGCTGTTGTGGCAGTGTTCAGTGGTGTATTATGGGTACCATTTTTTAAAATGGTTTTTCCCAAATATGTTTAATGCACATCCTTAAAAAGGCCACGTTGGTACTGTGTCGAACGTACGTACGTGTAGTTTGCTACATGACCTGCAGTATGAAAGCAGGCTAAAGATTGGCCGAAAGTCGCATGTTTTGTGTTATGAAATTTTTTATAATATGCATTTATCACGTGAAGTTATCGGAATTGTTAACTCATGGATGAAAAGAGAAGTGTGTACAGAATTTTAATCGGAAAATCATCGGGAGAGCTAGGCAGAGACAAAATGATACTGTCATGTGAGTATGGAGTGACTGTAGACGGAGTTTTGATTGGATATTGGATATATTGACCACTTAAAGGTCGTAACTACAAATACCTATAATATTATTGCTATTTCCACACTTTACACTACACTAGAGCACACAGCCTAGTGCTCTCAATCTGTTACTAGACGTATTCTGATGACGGCTCCTGACATTGGTTAGTCCTGTATTTCCGAGCTCAAGTTTTCTTTGAACGGCGCTCTCTGTCTTCTTGCTTCATATTCCGTATGGAACTGGCTTGGTCAAGTCAAGTCAAAGTCAGAGCTATTTTACGACTGGCGGTTTACCGCCAATCATTTCATCTTGGGGTCAAGCCCCTTGAGACCCACGACCAGAGATTTTCTTCAACCGAACTCTTTCGATGATAGTCCTTATGTAACGTCCTCTCTGACGAGAAGATGGGTTTGTCTCTTAGGAATACGCTTGCCCTTTCGTCAGGTATACATTGCGCACATATTGCGTGTTATTGAAAATTCTTCCTTTTTCACTGCAGTTGCCTTATAAGCCCTCGGCACGGACTGAGTAGAAAGCACAGTTTCTCTACAGCACCCTTATTATTTTCCGTCGATTCGTTGCTGCGGGAGTTCGTTTACCGGGCCGTTGCCTAGAAACGGCTGTAGTATCAGTGACGTAGGGTGTGGGCACGATTGAACTGGCGTACGAGTTGGCAAGTTGGTTTTCTAGACCACAATAAACTTTATAAAAGCTGGGAGTGTCTTGGCCAGACCAACTACTGATTTTTGAAGAAATAACTTATGCCATAGAAAGTTTTATGGACGGATACTTTGAGATTGTGACAGTCTGTAGAATTGTGTGTGGACTCCGGCTTGCAGGAGGAGAACGCTGCCTCAGAGATGTAGAGTCAGAATTGGTGCATTGAGCATGCAATCAAATTATTGACTCACATGCAGCCTTTTAGCCAATACATAGTTCAGTCTCCTGATATGCTTTTTACTAAAGCGCTCTGTGGAGCCAAGTTATTTTTGAGAAGCTAATAGTGACTCAGAAATTCCTTACGTTTTGTGGAAATCATAGGATAATTATTGGCTTGACAGGATGCTGTCCTAAGCCAGACGAGAGACAAGCCAGTCAATTTCATCAGCATTCTCCAGTGTGTTCCTCTACCTTCCAAGTGGCCTTTGCCCGTCAGGATGAATACATATATCAGCATCTCGTGCTGTACATGTGGTGATGACAACTTATGATGGTTCTTGGCCGGATGATTACCAGCTCCACAGTTATCTGTGGTAGAGGATATTCAAGATATGTTTGCTATTCCCGGTAGTGATAGAATATTTTCAAATTCATTTTGATAGTTTTCTTTCTCTATACGCGCCGTTAATTTACTTTGTTATATACCAGTGCAGTCACAATTGGTAATTGGTTAAAGGTAAAGTTGTGCCTGTGCTTAACTAATTAAGCACTACGCCATGAAGGTGTATAGAGGAGTGGATGTATAGATCCACATTTTTCTTGACCTCGACACTAGCTGGAGGTGACTGGTCAGCTTCACGCCCCTACCGCTTTACTCCAGGGGAATGAGTCCCCCTGGTACCCATTGGATAGGAGGCTGGATGGGCCCCAGAGCCGGTCTGGACGACGTGGAGAAGAGAACATTGTGACCCTGCCGGGACTCGAACTCCGACCTCTCAATCGTCCATCCCGTAGACAGTCGCTGTACAGACTGGGCAACCCCAATAATAATTGTGTGACTGTGAAAATTAAACCTTGTGTCTTTGGGCGTGATTGGTTTTGTGTACCAGAGGATGTACATACTAATAGGATGCGCGATTGTTTCTAAGGAAGTTCTCGTCTCTGGGAGGTTTGGGGTGCATATGGGTGTGCACACTAGCTGTAGTCCAGAGACAGACAGCGTAAGCAGAAGCAGCAGCAACAAAGGCGAAAGTGGTAAACTTGTCTGTAACAGGCATGAACAGAATTCTGAGCCAAGTGCAATCTCTGTAGGATCTAAAGTTACTGATCCATGAAGTAAACTGTTAAAATCACGTGACATAAACATCTCGTCCATCATGGAAGAGGGTTGTTGCTTTATGTTCGGAACTCCACGTTCATATGTCAGTTTGTGAAACAGTTCTCTAGAAGTATATAAATTGGTTTGGCAGTGTTTCATTGACATTTCTCAGATGAAGCATAATGCTGCGACGTGTATGAGTGTGACTCTCGACGGGGTTTCGGATTGGTTATTGGTTTTATTGACCACAATAACACACAACTCGTGACAACATTTAATTATAGCGCCATCGCTAATTTCCACACTTTACAAATCACTAGAGCACAGACTACTGTTCTAAGTCTGTTAACAGCCTCCACTAGACCTGTTCTGGTAGCGGCTTCTAACAGGGGCTAGTCCTCTGCTACCGTCCTCAGGCGCTCTTTCAACGGCGGGTTATTGAGTACCTTCCTTACAACTGACTCGCTGTTCGGCCTGTCGTCGAACACGGCCATTTGTAATCATCGCCCGACTTCGATTCCGTGGAGTTCGAGTTTCCGAACCGTCGACATTCGTTGCCCACACGACAGGCTCGCGGGGATCCGTAATTGTACTCTCGGCCAGCTTCCGGTGTCTGTTCTGAGCGTTACGACAGCGGGCGCGCTAGCAGAGGCTCGACTAATAGGCTACGAATCTATCAACACATTTAGGATCAGATTGTGGAAGGACTCGGATTAAGAAACCACAGTTGGGGTTAGTTAGATAAATAAGGAAACGTCGGAACACTAAACTCCATAGCCGCCCCTGAAGGAAATACAAAAACGTGCTAAAGAGAACAAAGAGAACGTATTGTCATGTAGGTGCGTGGTATATACAGTGATAGGCCCAAGATAATAGCCATAAACAGCAATACAGACAAACGGACCGTGGAAGACCTAGTACGACAAACAGCGAAACATGACGCGTAGCTTAATTTTAACCGTTTAATTTATTTTAACTAAAAGTGAGAACAACAATTTAAGAGTAATACCAAGAATAATGGTATTTCAATAGGTTTTAATAGTATAATGTTTTACTGTCTTGATACCTTATTGATTTTAAGGCTCTCAATAAATTTAAATGTTTGTTTTACGCACGATTTCAAACTAATTCTAGGGTCAACATAAGAACGCAACTGTGTAATCTCTGCATATAAAGGCGAATAGAAAAGTGACAGAAGTACATCATATTTTTTTCGTTTCATTTTCTTTTTAACACCAGATAAAGAGTAATGTATGGATCCATATATAAAGACTTGTTGCTCTATGAGCCAAAACTACGTAGCGGCTTCCTATTCTAGGCCAGTAAATCTCAATTGTAAACAATAAAATGTGAGCGAGTTATTTGGTGAATTGTTGTGTTTGATAGGAATTAATACGATAATTTATATATAGTATAACACAACATGATGCATTCCTTAAAGATTAAGAGACTGTCACTTGGCAACAAGCATTTCCATTGTGACTGTTATAGCTGTTTGATCTGGTTTGTACCCCACACAGCCAGTTACGTAACTGCTAGGATACTCGCGCAATGTGCGAAGAATATTATGAAAGTTCTCTTCCTCCACCTTCATATTTAAGTTTTATTTGTGGCGTGGATGTACTTGTTAGCGTACTTTCCTTCTGTTGAAGAAATGAATGACTTGCGGAGGCCACATTGCTGTGTGACTTTATACGCTCCGTATTGTTGCTAGGCGACGGCTTGGTTAACACGTTCCCTCAGCAACGAATACACATAACAGCAGAAGAGCAGGTGGACAATGTATTTTGTATGCATAAGATTTATTTGAAGATTTTCGTGTTGTCAAATTATATTTACTGACTGCTAACGCCATCTGTGGAACAAAACTAAAATCATATAGATACGCATGCAGAATCTGTGAGATCATATTCATATGCCGTATGAGTTGCTAACCGAACTGGGTTGTCTGATTGGATTGGTTAAACATGTCACATGGGCAGATGTCCTTGTATTTTCTGTACATGCATTATGACAGTTTTTAGTCTATTTCCTTATTTTGAAAAAATAAAATTAGTCTTATGAGATCACCTAGTTGCCGGCGTAGTCTTTATCCCCCCCCCACCCCCCATTTATTGTTGCTAGGCAACGGTTCAGTAAACACGTTCCGGTGGCAGTGTATAGACATACAACAACAGAAGAACTGCTGGATGTGTCTTCTGTGCGGTCCGTGTTGTATCAAATGATTAGCTAATTAAGCACTACACCATGAAGACGTATAGGTGAGTGAATGTATAGACCCACGTTCTCTTGACCTCGGCACTATTTGCAAGTGAGTGGCCAGCTACACGCCCCGGCCGCTTTACCCCCAGGGGAAGAGTGCCCACGGTACCCTTTGGAGAGGAGGCTGGGTGGGTCCCAGAGCCGGTTTGGACAACGTGGAGAAGAGAAATTTCTTAGCTTTACTGGGACTGAGAACCCCTTCCCCTTGTAATGGTCAATATGTAGTGAAAGGAAAGATGATCAGCTCTTCCAAGAACTTGTACGGTTTCAACTTGCGTAGATTTATGATCAGAGCCGGGATAGCGCTGTCGGTATAGCGACTGGGTATGGACTGGACGACCAACGAGTTGGAGTTAAGAGTCCCTGTAGGGTCAAGAATATTCACTTCTCCATGTCGTCCAGACAGACTCTGGGGCCCACCCAGCCTTCCCGGTGGTAAAGCGGCCGGGGCGTGAAGCTGACCACTCTCCTCCAACTAGTGCTGAGGTCAAGAAAACGTGGGTCTATACACCCACTCCCCCCATACGTCTTCATGTCTTCATGTCATAGTGCTCAGTTAGTTCAGCACAGGCACTTTAGCTTTTTTTATAGATTTATGCTGTAACATGAACCTATTTTTGAATGATTTTTGTCTAATATGAAACTATTTTATGATTTTTCGCAATAAAATATGTAAAGCTCCACTTTTAGATCTGGAGAAGGAAGCAGTATATTGCATGAGTGACAAGTCAGAAGTGTACTTTGCTGTATGTGGGACAGTATGTAGTATGTGGCATTGTTTGACATGAAGGCAACTTGTTTTCTGCAGTGTGCCAGCCTGATGAATGGCAGTGTGACTATGGATCCTGCATTGACCGGAGGCTGAGGTGTAACGGACGCCAAGACTGTCCCAGAGACAATTCTGATGAAAGGAACTGCCGTGAGTATTAATCAAGAATGTGAATTGTATGTGTGTATTTTCATACAATCAGTAACTTTCACGAAAATTTCCAGAAGGGAACTTCACGTATCACACTTCAGTTTTTCGTAAACTGAATGTGATTTGTAAGTCCTGTCACAAGTTGAATAATTCTGTTCATTGTATATAGAATTTGTACCGTTTCTTAATGAAGCTGCAGATTGTTTACATTGCATTTTGATCTGCATGTTATAATAATAGTTCAGTTTTGGTTTTGTTTGCACGTGGTTCATATTATACGTTCCAAATTGGATATTTGCCTTGTAATTGTGTGAAGCGTAAGCAGGTCACACTGTAGCCACAGTTGCTTGAATGAATTGGTCAGGTTGGGGAGCAGTTAATTTAACGTGTAAATTTTAACATCTTGCTGATCCTGCAGCATGGAGCATCTTAATCACTCAAGGATTTGTTCTCAGTGGGCTTATTTTGGGTTCCATGATGATCATACATAAAGAGCTTCCAGGGTAATGTTAGAAAGGAAAGAGTTAATTAATATTCAGAAATTTGATGTTAAGGAAAAACTGAGAATTATCATATACAGGGTTTAGTTGTCCTGATTGAGGAGAGGCAGTTTGCCTTAAATAGTCTGTAATTAGTGATCTTCAAATAAGAAGAGTCTATTTGTTTTTGTTATGAAATATGAGAAAAGAATGGCCTTTGAGATGGATGAGGCTAATAATAAAAGCCTCCTTGGAAGTAGATAAAAATGGTGATATTTTCGTTATTTGCCCCTAGGAGTACTGAGAACAAGAACTCTTTTACGACATTGGTACATCATCTTGTGCACTTCTCACCCTAACCACATATTGAAATTCTGTTGGTAATACGTGTCAAAAATAAAAGTGCCCATCAGCCGTATCCTGCACATGGTTATGGAATAAGAATTTTTTAGGGTGGGGCAGGAGAAGGAATGTTTCTCAAGTAAAATATTACGACACTTATGCATGACAAGTGTTGCTCTATTTATTACACTGTTGATCATTCAAGCAACTGGCATATGGTGTGATTGAAATTCCTATCGAATCAGGATGTTGTTCAAGGCAGCCGTATGTGATACTGTTGTGACTAATACGTTTGTGCCTCCTTCTGCATATGTCACGCATTCAACAGTTAGTATTGCTGGAAAGTGTTCACAATGGCAGTTTACTTGCGGGGACGGAGCTTGCATTGATGGCAGACTCCGCTGCGACACATATGTCAATTGTCCCAACGATGATTCTGATGAAAAATTTTGTCGTAAGTTACATGACCTCAAGCCATATGTACGGGCATAATCAGTGTTTTTACTAGTGTAGACATGATAAGAGACCATTTCAGTGTGTTTTCTAACTGTGATGATGTTATTAACATTGCACCAGTAATGTCTAATTGATGGAAACATGATGTTAGCACAAAAAGTTACCATTTAAATATTCCTGTAGATAGAGGCAGATGGATAGATATGGGTATATCTTATAGATTGTACCAGGTGGAATATGTAACAAATTACGTACAGTAGTTGTCATTCAGAAAATTTGTCAAAATCTGATGGAATTACAGTAGCATGTCCCCAAAACAAAATATCCTGCAGTAGGTAAACATGTATTGTTACACTATCATTAAATTCTTCTGTCAGATCTTCAGATCTGTATCACTTTTTAAACATGATGACAAGCAGCATAGATTTTGCACAGTATTTTAAGGTAAATAACATGCCCATATTCTGCAAATAAAATGTGTCACCCCTTGTAGGTACTGAAAGACTCCTCCTGCTCCCTCATATTTATTAAACTTTACTGAAGATCTGTTTCTATAGTAGAGGTGAGTGGCGTTTTTTATGTACCTCAGAAACGAGTTCATACAATTCATGTTTCAATAAATAGCCTCCTCCTCCTCCTCCTTGTCGTCATTCTGCTGCCACTGCCACTGCAGCCCCATCCCATTGACAAAACCAAATAGCTGTAGTTATACTCCAATGGGTTGTCCACTGATTGAGGTTAGCTCTTTCTAATGGATCCAACAGAGTAAGTGACTGCAACCCCTCACCTGAGGACAGAAACAGATACAGTTTATGAAACATTGTGTTCTTTAGAGTACGAGATGATGGACAAAATCCAAACCCCAGTAATCTGGTGTTATACACCATTCTCAGAACCCGTTAGAATTAAAGCTATGTGTAATACATTCCTCAGTCATTGCCATATATTTACTTCAGCTAAGACATGTTGAGAAATTGTGTTACATATTTTTACACTTGATTTTATATGTTGAATGCTGTGATGGGTGCATTCTTTTTTCTATCTTAAGTACCATTGGAAAGATGGTGTGAACTTTTGGGGGCTTCTTCCTCCTTCCTTTGGTTAGGCAACGTGAGTGTGTGTTAAAAGGGAATGTCATTAATTGGTAAGATATTTAAACAACGTTATGTCTCAGTACTTTCTAAATAAGTTTTTGTAGTTTTTAAATCTGCCAGTTACAAATTAATTTTTAGTTAAATTTTATAATGTGAACATTTGTCACAATTGGCAATACTGGTTGCCCAAATAATTAGGCACACAGAGAGTATAACTGAAACATATTTGCAATTATGGTCGAGAATTTAGTAGTGAATGTAATACATATATGATACTGTTGGGTATGAGATAACCTGAAATGGCTTCTAAAATCAGTTCTCTCTGTAGTTATTCGTTTCCATGTGATTTAGTCTCCTGTGTCTTTGTCATCACATTTCACTTTGAGATGTTATTAAAGTGGCCATTGTTGTATAGTGTTGCTACTATTTACTTCAGGTGTGTCATTGCTTGAAACTTGAAAATATGAAATATTCATTTTTCAATGGCATGACAAATCCAGTGCACTGTTTTCTGAAATTACCTTTTGTTGCAATATAATGTGGGTAGTAAGTATAATGAGATTTTTCTGCACAGATTGTTAAAAGAATGAATTTCAGTTATAATGCTTAGTGCATGAAGTATGTGGCTAGAAAAGCAAGAAATATATCAAAAATCCTAAAATATAGACTTCCTTCTTTGTTATTAGACTTTACTTACATTTCCTGGTTGTGTGGAAACAAAATTCTATGTGTGTAGGAGAGTGTTTCTAGGAGATACTTCTGTTCCTTCATGATGTGCTTAGAGGCTTCTCATGTTTAATAACCAGCAGACTCTCTGACCAAAAATACAACTAATGTATTCTGTCTTTATAAACCGTTTTTGCACCAACCATAGCCCATTCATTTGAGAGTGAAATTATCTTACTTTCAATTATTGCGGGTTGTAAGTAGCTGTCTAGGCAGGATAGAATGTCAGACGTTTCTGAATTTTCTGTGCATACATATTAATTTGATTTTCTCATGCAGGTGTATTATTTTTGCCATCAAGTAAAACACTTCTCTGAACTTCCAAATACCATGTTTTACAAGAAGGTCAATAGTAGCTACACTATGCACATTTTAACCACTCAGTAATTAGCTTGTCCCAGCTAATCTGCCCACTCAATGTGTTGTTCCGTCCATCTGCTACTGTGTTTGTTTTGCTGCATTCTCTGTGTTGTGTTTGACTGCTAACTTTCTGCTTGGCTAATGTTATTCTCAGTGTAATACATTCTATAGCAGTAGAATTTGTGAACCTGACAGTTTTGGAAAATTTTGTAACATGAATGGTGGTGCTCATAATTTGTTCTCCAGATTTTATTTTATTTCATTTTGTGTGGTACAAAGTATTTATGATTATTGGTCTGGTTTTAGTGCTCCAGATTTTATTTTATTTCATTTTGTGTGGTACAAAGTATTTATGATTATTGGTCTGGTTTTAGTGCCCTCATTGAATGATGTAAATGCATATGAAGTAGGTCATCTGTGAGTCAGTCCAGTCATATACATCAACTTCAATATATATTTCAGTTCTACACTAAATATTGACAGTCAACCATTCTATCTGATATAACCCCGAATTTTGTGCTGAAGTCATCCTAGGTGATCAGCAGTGTTGGTATTATATCAAAACCAACGTTTCAGGGATCTCCTACTTCTGTCTTCATCATCAGGATTGAAGTGGCGAATGACTTTTCATAACACATATTTTTCAAGCAGCACAATTTCTTTTGTATTGAATTTTTCAAAAATTTCCCTGCATATGAACACACATTGTGTGACAATGTTTGTGGCTTAGTGGGGTTTAATTTCAAACATTTTTACTTATAATTTATATTGAGATTTTGACAGATTTTAATGTGCTGACCCTCCCTCTCGAATACTGAAAAATGGCCTTTGGAATGGTGTCCATCGATCTTGTATGGATGTGTGCCTTAGTGGCATTTAAACTGCTGGATATATTTTGCTCATATTCAGTATTTAAGAGTTTGATTGTTATAGGTTGGTATCTGGTGAATATGAATATTCTGGCTTCAGAAAGAAGGGTCCTTTATATTGGCTTGAAAAAAACAATATGACTTTTTTTCTCAGAAACTACTGAAATGATTTTTGTCAAACTTAAGTAATTTATGGAGACCATCTCCCGAAATAAAACTGCATAGATGGTATCTAAAGTAGTATAATGATAGGCACCCAGGGGGTCGAAACACAAAGTACTAATTTTTTTGAGACTGGCTTTACTAGTTGGATTGATTTCATTGTTTGTTATTCAGTCATTAAGGGAGGAACATAGACTGAGGGCGTTTGAGAGCAGGGTGTTGAGAATATTTGGACCGAAGAGAGATGAAGTGACAGGAGGTTGGAGAAAGCTGCATAATGAGGAGTTTCATAACTTGTACTCTTCTCCAAGTACAATTAGAATCAACAAGTCAAGTAGGATGAGGTTGGCATGTCATGTAGCATGAATGGGGGAGACAAGGAATGCATATATGATATTGGTGGGAAAGCCAGGAGGAAAGGGACCACTGGGAAGACTAAGGCATAGGTGGGTGGACTATATTACAATGGATCTTAGAGAGATAGGATGGGCTGGTATGTATTGGATTGATCTGGCTCAGCATAGGGACCAGTGGAGGGCTCTTGTGAACATGGTAATGAACCTTCGGGTTCCATAAAATGCTGGGAAATTCTTGAGTAGCTGCAGAATTGGCAGCTCCTCAAGAAGGGCTCAGCTCCATGAGTAAGTAAGTAAGTAAGTGAGTAAGTTTGTTATTCAATAACCAGTAGTGGTCTGTCAGGTAAGAGTAGTCAATTTTCTTCCAAGGTAACATTTTTTTTTTTTGCTTAGTGCGGGGGAGTCCAACTGGGTCCACTCAGCATGGCGACTACTGATTATCCTATTGTACCTGTTCTGGGTGATTATGATGATGGAGAATTTAGTGGAATGAAGATTGGCAGGGGAAACCGAAGTACTCGGAGAATACCCGCCCCAGTGCCACTTTGTCCACGAGAAATCCCACTTGGCCAGACCCGGGATCGAACCCGGGCCGCTGCGGTGAGACGTCAGCGACTAACCGCTTGAGCTATGGCACGTCCTCTTCCAAGGTGACATAGTCAAGGTCATTTGTATTCGAGTAAATATTGGCAGTGTCTTTGCACTGGTTTTCTTGGTATGATTGATGTCTGTGTTTGTGTGTGTGACAGAATATGAGATAATGTAATTTAAGATTTGTTTTGGTCAAGATCTGTACTTCAAAGACCTTTGACAGCAGTTTGGTTTGTGAGTCCTTTCAGTGCTGTAGATTTTGGGCTGGGACATAGGAACTGAACATAAGACTTATGAAGGCTGCAAGATTTGAAAGAGAACTACCCCAGTAGCAGTAACCACAATAATGAAAACAGTGTCAGCAGTGTCAGTAACAGGAGTCTATTAGAATGCTTGCCATCAGCAATGGCCTGTTACAGGAAGAAAGTAAAACACATAGTAAATACAAAGAAATATGAAAGAAATAAAAAGGAATATCATATTAATTGAAATCATTATTTATTTGCATACTTACTGAACAGCGCGTAGTGTAAGCATAAGAAGACAAAGAAAACCAAAAACACACAGCACACAAACAAACTTGAAAGAAGGCAACTTGTATGATTTAGACATCTTTAAATATTCAGTAAGTGCAGTAATGCCAGTGATTATGCAGTGAGGCAAAAAGTGTGTATATACGTAGGTAAGCCAATAAGTAAGTTACAAATGGATATAGAACTTAAACAAATAAGAATAATGATTTAAAAAATCCTTTTACTTCTCAACATAATCTCCCTGTACACTGAGGCACTTTTCTCATCGTTTCACAAGCCCCTGAAAACCAGCAGCATAAAATTCTTTGGGCTGCTGTAGGAACTAGGCAGTGACTGGAATCACGAAGGTATACTGCTCACCGCATTCCAGCCTCAAGGACAAACTCTAAATGCCGACTCCTACTGTAACATCCTCAGGAAACTTCGTAAGGCCATTCAAAGGAAGTGACCAGGACTCCTCACCAAAGGCGTGTTGCTCTTACGTAACAAAGCGCGTCCCCATACTGCCAACAAGACAAATGAGATGCTGCGAAATTTCAAGTGGGAAGTCCTTGAGCATCCTCCATATAGCCTTGTCCTTGCTCCAAGCGACTTCTGTTTGTTCGGCCCTCTTTCGGCTGAACATTTCTCAACGATGAAGCTGTAGGAAGGGAAGTTACCGCCCGATTCCGACAACAGCCCAAAAATGTTATGTTGCTGGTTTTGAGGGGCTTGACGGGACAAGTGCTTCATTGTACAGGGAGATTATGTTGAGAAATAAAAGCAATTTTCAAATCAGTACTCATATTTGTTTAAGTTCTATATCCATTTGTAACTTACTTATTGACTTACCCTCGTATAAGCATTTTGAATAGAGGTGGTATTTCAGTAAGTAAGAAATTACCACTATTTAATGCAGGGCCTGGTCATCCAGGTTGGCTGTTGATTGCAAAGCTCACGACCTTGCTCTGTAAAAGAAATACTGTTGTGAAATCCATAGACGTGAAAACCAGATCATTTCTGGCAGATTTTTCTAAGGAAGCCTGTGGCTCAGAAAGGACTGTTTTGCCAGTGTGATGATATGATGACTTGTAAATAAAATTAAAGGAAACATTTTTGCTATTAGATATATTAAAAGCAGTGTTAGCAGCTGAAGTGCATCTAGCAAAGGAAAGTTTTTATTTAAAGAGCAGAGAATGAACAAAGAAAAGGTCTAGGATAGAAGGATATAAATTAGAACCACCATGAACTTAAATAAGGAGTGGTGCACTGCAATTATAAACTTAAGTTGAATGCATTCCAGTTTGTTGGCGTCAGTAGAGGTAATAAAATTCCAAACAACAGAGACTTACTGAAGCTTAGAGCTAAGGTAAAGTATTATACTGTATACAGATATTCAGTGGATGAGAGCTACGAGGCTATTCTGCAAAGTAGGCCCAACATGTTAATACAGTGCCAGTTGTGATGCACAGCTTCCTATAATTATGTATAATTAGCTTGAAGTGGGGGTCATTGCTGACTTTCGATATGTAGAATGAAGGGCATGATATTCAAGTTACGCTAAGATGAGGGTTTTCTGTTAGTGAGCAGTTTTTTATTGAGTTGTAGTTTTGATTAGGGAAAGGATTTGGTGTTAAAATCATAGCTGGGGCATATTCAGCTTCTCAGTGAGTTTCAGGTAGTGAATAAGTGCCCACACTGAGTTTTGAAGAGGATGCTTTACTGACATATAAATGTGGCTCTGAATTTAGCTCTGTGATCTTGTTTATAATGAGAACCAACATTATCATCAGGATCATCATCATTTTTGTGATTATCATTATTAATTGCTTCAGTTTGTGTATGGAACACAGGGCCTCATCTGCCACTGTTTGATGCATGGTTATAGGTGGGCAGAGAAGAAAAGGCAGCTTTTAAAATGAATATTATGAAAATGGTTTGTGGGTTTTTGTCTCAGGTTCTTGTTAATTGTCAAGATTTTGTTGTAGCGATGTTCAGCTTTTGGGTTCTCATACAGTAAAATAAGTTGGTTGATTAATTGATTACTTTCATAACAAATTGTTGTGTATAAATAAGTAGTTTAATAATGCAGCAGTGTGGATAATATATAATTTAGTTGACCATTGTCTTCATGTAACTCTATGATGAAGCCAAGTATGTGAATCTTTGTAGTTGTTCCTTAGACTTTATGTCTGTGTTATTTATTATTAGGAAAATGGAAGCACATTAGATGAAAAAAGTAGACCATATTGTTTCAGTGCATGTGTGTAGCACAGTGGTGCAGTTGGTCATGTTGTTTGAAGATATGGGTTGTGTTTGATGAATGTGTTGGTTCTTGCAGCATGTAAAGAGGATGAGTTTACATGTGCAAACAAGTACTGTATCCCGAAGAGCAACAGGTGCGACGGTTTTAACAACTGCCAAGACGGCAGTGACGAGCAGAGCTGCCGTATGCATCCATAATTGAATATGTTATGTAACATACTAACACCAGCTCTCAGAGAGAAAGGTTGCATTTTCTTGTCTGTAATGCAAAACCTATTTATACCCAACTGCTTTATGCCTAAACTGATAGGTATGATATGCTTTTATTGAAAACCGTTTTAACGTGAAACATTTTTAAAGTGTTGGCATAAATGAAATTTGAAGAATCATTTTGCATGGTTTAGGCTTTTACGAGCTTTACGGCAGTGCATATGAAAATTAGAATCTTGTGGAATATTACGCTGTGTGAGGAAGCACAAATCTTAAAAATGTTGGAAATTGTCCTTCAGACTAAATAGAATCATATCCCAGAAGATGATATTTCACCATATAGCAGCTTGTACATTTGCTTGTGGCTGCTGCTGTTGAAATCTGGGAATGACAAGTCAGTTACGGGTGTGAATGGGTAGTGCATTAACATGCTAACTAAATTCCTAAATTGCATGGCTTCTGACACCTGCTAAAGAGGGGGTATTTATAATTTTGAAGCACCTGCAGTTGTGTTTGAACAGAACTGTTAAAATATGTCTGCCTCTTTCTGTGAACTACAATGCAGCTACAGGCTTGAATGCATGGTATACTCTTCCATGTCTAGGGCTCCATTGAAGAGAATGTGGGGCAATTACTAGTGTCTGACAACATTTTCTGTGAAAGTTGCAAACTTCAGTGTGATTTTCAGACATCCATTACTTGCTATTGCCATTGGTACAGAGAAACCCATTTGGTCATAAATGAATAGTAGAATGGTCACCATCAGCTAGTTTGACCCTTAATTCGCATCCCTCTCTTTTCATTGGAGGGTAGTACATGTAAGTTATATAGCTCGTCTGCCTACTGTTGACTGTACATAAAGTAAAGGAAATCATTCTTAAAATGGAATAAATAATGTAGGACATTGGAATAACATTCCAGCACAAGATTGGTGTGTAATTCGTACATGTTGAGTAAATTTCTCCCAAAAGAAACGTTATTTGTAGGAAGTTTGTTGAAAGTTATGTGGTCACCATTATTTATGGAATGGTGAGCAGGTTTTGATGAAACTTGTTATGTGAAGTAATATACAGGGCGTTCCCCAGGAGGAAAGGTTAGTATTCTGGGAAGTCACAGCATCTGCTGTTCGAAGCAAAAAATACAAACATATATACATGTGTCCTATTCCGAACGGTTTCCGAGCTAGAGCTATGGATGTTACTGCCTGCATAAAGAAATGTCAGGATACACTCAAGTAAGCAACACACCATGTCCTCACACGAGTTGTAAGAAGTGCTTTCATTGATGTTGACAGTGCAATTTTCGAAAATGTATTATACTAGGTACCAACTTTGTCACTTGAACTATTAATACCCGTATTAGAAACAATACATAATATCTCTTGTTAACAATTTTGGAAATATAGTGAAATAGCTCTATCTTGGAAACCATTCTGAACATGTCACCTCCTAGAATATTGACATTTCCTCCCGAGACACTCTGTATACACTTAAAACTTGTCAGAGGACATATTTTTTTGAGCCACATTGGTTCATCCGTGCTTGAGATCTGTTGATGGCACTCCTACTGTGTCTGCTGCACATTAAAATTGACTGGTTTTGTCAAGAGTAGTGTGTCTTCAGTTATTGTTCATCTGAACGATACCACAAAGACTTTCTGAAAACACGCAAGTCAGATATACAAACATGTGGAACCCCCCCCCCATATTGAAGCTTTCTTTATAACATTTACCTGTACTGAAACTGGAGTAAGGTAGTGGGGTGGTAAAACAGGTAACTTATTTTTTTTTGTGCTCATGAAATGTAGTTTGTAGAGATTTAATGATTTTCCCAGTTTATCAGTAATGATGTTTAAATTTTCCCTGGAAAGTTGTTTAAAGGTTCATATTGCTACTTTATTTTAAATTACAGATATTAGTATACTTATATGTTTGTATTTCCTTATCTTCAGTTTATTTACTTTTCATTTAAATTTGTGTTCAGAATTCAAAGACTCGGTCCCCAGTAAATTTAGAACAACTTATTGATCCCGAGTCATCAAAATATGTATTCACATTTGTCTTATCTGCCCCTTCTGGCCCCTGTGTGCTCAGTAAGGCCCAGAAGTTCTTTTCTGAAGTGGCAGCTCCCTGCAAGAAGTGTTGTGCCATTCTCAGTGGTTGTTAGTCAATGTAAGAAATTTCATTTGATCATTCAACCTCCAGCTAGTGCTCAGGTCAAGAAAACGTGGATCTATGCAACCACTCCCCCAAACACCTACATGGCAAAATAATTACCTAAGAGTAGGGACAACTTTACTTTTTACCTTTATAGAGTCTGCAGTGCTTCATCTGTCCACATCTTGGTTTGCTTGTAATGTTTTGGGTCAACCCCCTCTGTTTAATCAACCTAATAGTTCTAACAGTCCCTCATCACACATTAGATATACTTTTCCTTATTTTCTGTGGCTTCATTGGAGTAATAAGTAGTATTTACAGTGTCTGGAAAAAATTAAATCTATTGCAATCTTAAAATAGTAATTTGTAAGTTTCAGTTTTACAGACAAATACGTTTTCAAAAAGTATGCACACTCCAGATTGATAGTAAAATTAAGTGATTTTCATTACATTTTGAATAGATAATCTTTTTAGAATGTGTGTTTCGAAGTTTGTTGGTTGCATTTTTTAAAACTAAAATCATATTGATTTAGTGGTATATACAAGAACATTTTCTTTGTGAAATAATTTTAGAAATGTAGGTTCTGGCCTACAGAGAAGCTAGGTTTCTCAGTAAAATTGCATCAGATTCTTTTATGTTGTTGGACCATTGTTTTAAATCCTTAGCCATTCCAAGATATTCAATTACTTTATGAACTATTTCAGAGGAGTGTGAACACAACGAGTTTCAGTGTCGTGATAAGACTTGTATCAGTGTAGCCAGGAGATGTGATCGTCATTACGACTGTCCAGATGGCTCAGATGAAGTGAACTGCAGGGGTAAGATACAAGTCCAGTGGCACACTGGGCTGCTCTATCCAATACCTAACCTCCATGTATTCGTGTAGGCTCCAAGAGGTTTGAGGAATATGGGAGAATTGAGCTTTACTGTTACTGTTTGTTTCCTTCTTTTCTTTTTGGGGATCTTCCTAAAGGTCATCTTCCTCTGGATTGAAAGTTTGAAAGTTCTTTCAGGATTCCAACAGAGCTCATGATCTTCATTCAGTTTCTTCCAGATTTTGGTGAAAGCGTTTTTATGCACACACACATTTGTTCACCTTCGTTCTTAGAGTTCAAATGTCTCTCTTCAAACATACGAGTATAAGAATTTTTGTTACAGAGTTTTGGTCTTGTTGATTGTGTCCTTCTGAAGATGGTCAATTTGACCGAAATGCATTAAGGAAAATGAAATAGTGAAATAGAACTTTTATAAATCAATCAGACTGGACTGTGCTATGGGTCATTTTGTACTTTTGGTCTTTTGACATATTAACATTTACTTACATATCTGATGCTTATAATCATTAGAGGTTGCAATTTCATCTTTGTCCTTACTTGTGTCTTTACCTACTGCTCTCAAATTAACTACTCTTGCTAGACTACTACTATTTATTTATGCATAGAATTGCTCTAATATTTTTCTGTGCATGTATTAAATGGCAGTCAAAAAGAACACAGTGTGGGGCAGACAAATGGAAGGTGTTCACTATTATGTAGTTTAGATCTTTACAGACTAAATAGCCATATTATTGGTGCTATTGTTTGGGAGGTGCTGCTGCTGGAAAAGTTATCATGCTTGAAGGAAATATACACATGTACTGGATAAAAATGTGTGTGTAAAAGCCTTGTGCTTATTATGATTGTGCAACTGCTGTAGAAAAAAGGTGCCTTAAAACATTCATACACACTTTCCACCGCCATGAAATATTTTGTGTTGGTAGTAGGATGTAATAACATCCCAGCTTTCAGTTTATTAGGTCCATCAGTACAATTTGTTTTATTATATCTTCTTTAAGTTTCCAGGAAGATGGAAACCACACACATTCAACACATGGATTTCAATGGCCATCAATAATAATCTGTAGCCACTACAGCCCATAGTGAACTTTGACCTCAGTTTTACAGTTGCGTACCATATTGTCGCTATTTAAGAGTGACAGTAAACGGGGTTTGGATTCGTGAATGAATGGATTTATTGACCACTTATAAACACAACTCAGAACCACAAGCAGTTCCATTGCCACTAATGTCCAAAATTCACAAATCACCACACAACCTGCTAAGCCTTTTTCCAGCCTGATGTGTCTTCATCAGCCGATCCCTGGTAACGGCTTCTAACAGTGGATATTCTTTAGCTTCACAACCTCCCATGCAGAACTCACTTTCAACTAAGTTTGTCCGTTGCTTATAACATCTCAGCACTGACAACATTGAAAGACCCAGTTTATAGCAGTAACTATTGTTGCATGCATATTCATTGCAGCGGGAATGTGTTTATCAAGCCGTTGCCCAGTAATGGTCGTTGTTTATAGAGTCACCGCTTAGTAGTGGGTCTGTACGCCACATTATAGACAGTTGTTAGGGCTCTGGGGTGGGGGATCAGCCTGTTGCAGGGCCACTACCTACACATGACAAGGCATGCACAGAATAAACACAGACCAACATCCATGCCTTGAATGGGATTTGAACCGAAGACTCAAGTGTTTGAGCAGGCAGCGACAGTTCATACCCTAAGAGTGTGCAGCCACTGTGATTGGCACACTGTAATGGCCATGAACCCAACGATATGTTATTGAATGCTCTGTGATGCACTGCAGTATGTAAATACACGCAACTCTTCTTCATTTAGTGGGACCTCAAATTACGGTTCACAGTGCTGTAAGGGTTTTGGTGTTGGTACATACTGTAGATGGTGCCAGTTTATATCAGCAGTGACCTAGCTTTTGTGTCACCTTTTTGTCCCTACACTGAAGTGTACTTATTTCATGCCTGGCTGCCTACTTTAATGCTGGTATTTCTCAAGCTGTAAGACCCATAATAACGACAGAAATTTCTATGAATCACTGTCTGCACTCTGTTTGTAAATGAAGGGGGCTCTATTGCTGTGATTGTAACATAAAGAATTTTGGAAATATGAAGAGAACAGTAGTAAGTTCTTACTGGAATTCTTCTGTTCCACACATGGCCATATGTCTTAAGTTCCAATGCACTGTTCTTGAAATGTAGGATTGAACATAAAAATTTTGATTTTATGACAGTGCTTAGAACAGTATTTCTGTCCTTTAGAAGTAACTGCTTGTCGAGAAGACCAGTTCCGTTGCAATGATGGGGTGTGCTTGAATATTAACCAGAGGTGCAACTTCATTCAGGAGTGTGTGACTGGAGAAGATGAGAAAGGGTGCAGTAAGTGAAGTCCTATTTAGTGATACATAATTTCAGGGGAGTAATTGTGTAATATTTTATCTCATAAATGCAGTGTAATATATTTTCATTTTTTTGCCATAATGCTTTTTTTGTGATACTAAATTGCATATCTGAACCACAACCTCCAGAAAATGAATGTGTCTGATTTTCAGGATCATGAGGGCTTACCACCTTTTTTTAAATGGATTTGCTGCTTCATAATGGTTGTGAAACTTGGAAGGAACATACACAGTTCAAGGTTTTTGGATTAGCAACTGCACAAACTACACTGCAGTTTTTTTTTTAATATTGCATAGTGGTTTATTCCAGTGTGGAGTAAAACACTAGATTTTAATGTAGTTTTTGTGCCTGCTAACCTGGTAGCTTGAACAATGAACATAAACAGGATGGAAACTTGTATGAACAACATGCTGATGAGATTATTGCTAAGATAGAAACGTGATGTAATGAGTGGGGAAGAATTGTATGAAGCGTTTGCAGGTTAAACTTTTCAGTTGTTGACACTGTACTTGTATAGTCTGAGGTACTGCAATGTTGTTAAATAAATACAAAGAAATCGAAGATTTTGGTTGCAGATCCTCAGGCGAAGAAAACACTTGGGAGATGTCAGTATTGCAAGATAATATTAAATTGGATCTAAGGGAATAGATTTTGAGGATGTAAAATGGTTATTAGTAGCAGATGCAATGATGGGTTTTTGTGTGTAAAACTGTAGGTTACATGGAATTGGGAATTACTTGACCAGCTGAATGAATAACTATTGGCTGTTGGAAGAAGGCTTGTGTCTTGGTTCAAGTCAGTCATTTCTGCAGGGAATGTTCTTTGAGCCACTGTTAGTTTCTGTCCTGGATGATGCATTGTTATGTGAGTTCCATATTGTGGAATTTGGGGTTGTGACACCAGACTGGAGTATTTGAAGACCAAGACCAAAGTGTAGATGTTCACCTGAAGAGCCCAATATGGTTGTTCACGTCTGTGAAAATCTTAGATCATACAGAGTTGAGTTATTTTTAATTAATTTCGTTTCTTTACAGCGCGTTGTACCCCGTCTGAGTTCCGCTGTAAAGATGGAAGCTGTGTGGATCTCTCAGCACGTTGTAATGATCACAGGGACTGCAGTGACGGAAGCGATGAGGAGGATTGTGGTATGAATCAGAGACTGTTTCCAGTCTTTTACTTAGTCTGTATAACTGGGAGCTGTAGCATGGCAGTGCAAACTGATGAAAGCTTTGAACAATGTTTGCAAGGTTTGCTCTAACTTAGTTTGCTGTGAGGGCCTTCAGACCAGACTTACAGCCAGAACTGATCCTGGGAAATGTGTGGAATTTTAAAGTATGTATAACCATACATTTTGCATGCTTTCACAAACATCATTGCTACTGGAAAACTATTCAGTGTCGTGACTAGTGGTTTGTAATGAAGGGAATGATGTCCATATTAATGCAACTTTCAACTTTCAACTTTTAACTTTCAACTTTATTTTCATCCATAACTGAAGTGAATCTAGAGAGGACAGTTATTATGAAAACTTATCTTAAAAGAAAAGTAGATGTTGCAAAACAAAAGGTTAATTCAGGAAAGTAGTAGGTTTCCTTGTCTCTTAAAAATGTCTCAAATGTCTGTAGTTACATTACATGGACATTTTTATTATCGCCATTATAGTATCCAAAATTCCTGCTGAAACTCTTCACAGATTTTTTTTACATCATGTTTTTGAAGCATTTTTACATTTATAAGCAGCTGATAATAATTCTATACAAAATGGCTGTTCGTTGTTTTGCAACTGTTTTGCTAGTCATGTCAACTTTCTTTATAAATAAATTTACAGAAGGCTTTATTAGTAAGCTATTAAAAAGCTGAGCTGCTGGTTAATATTTCTGGCCCGAGTACCTTTGATTGCCCATGGTTAAGAACCATACATAATTCTTGTTTTCCTCTTAAATGCTTTCATCTGAATTGGAGTTTTAGAGAATGAATAATTGGTTTCTGTATACAAATATTCACCCATATGGAACTCTTACCTGAAAATACTCGTGTAGCACCAGAGGGTCATGTCATTAAATGATCCAGAAGTGAAAAGTGAATTAATGTGAGAGAGCGTGTGTAATAGTATAAATTCGATACTAAACATAGCAGAATATAATGCATGATATTGTATTTAACCTGTTGTGTTCTTCTTACAGCATAAGACAGTATTATTCTCTTGTAACCTACTGTAACACTACTTCCTCGTAGTTCTCTCACGAGCATGCAAATCTGCATGTGTGGCTTCTTATTGTAATGCACGGATGGGTTATTCCCGTTGGCGAGTACACAAATCTCAAGGTGGACGCATGCTCAATCTAATTGTGGAGTTAATTTGCCAGTGGTGCTGTCAATATGGGCTAACCAGCATACATTTTGAGTTTCGTTGTGATGGACATCCCAGCTGCAAGGATCGCTGGCATGAGGTGAACTGTACAGGTACTAATAATGGAGGCTTTCAATACTAGTTTCTCGAATGACAGTGAAATGTGGTGAAATGCATAGCATTTGGACAGTAGCAAAAGGAAATATGTAACTTTTCATTGTCGCCTAATTCTGATAACCGAAAGGTTTAAACCTGTAATGTGATATACCACCATTGAACACAATCGTGAGCCACTTTGATCCTGCTTGTACCCTCCCAGCCTGTTTTTCTATGGTCAGTCATAATATTTTCATCGAATTTCCTTCAAATAATTGTGCAAGTGGCTGGCCTCCAGAAGATTTTCTCACCCAGATTCTGTATTCATTGTTTGTGTCCCCCATCCAGGCAAACAGTCCAACTGATGACAACTTCATATACTTTGTTACTGTGATATAACTAAGTGCCTTGTGTAAGTCAATCATGTCTTTGTTGTATAAAATGCCGACTTAACTCTGTCTTTTTTATATTCATATCTTTACTTTGCCTGCAGGCTGTAAAACTATGCAGAAGTACTGGTTCAATAATCTTGTTTTATAAAGTAGTCAGGACGATAACAGTTTCTGAAGTGAATAATAGCAATCATTTCCTGAATTCATGTGCATTTTCAAATTCTGGCACCCCATCCAATCAAGAGAGCCTCTTAATCCATGGAACATTTTTCTTTCAGGTTCTTACTGTGCCAGCTTCTGATTCGTGATTCTCCTCTGTCCCATCTTCATCTAATTTGATCTGATTACAAAATTGCCTCTGTTTTTTCAACATTTCCATCATCTGATCCTGTTTTGATCTTGTATGTCTTTTCTCTGGATCATCCTTGCCATTGCGTGTTTAGTAGATCTTCATTGCATCATTTTTGTTTTCGTGTAACCAAACCTTTCGTTCCTACCAATCTCATTCAATTAACACATTCTTAATTCTGCTTTTGTCTACAATATTGTTGAGTTTTATATGTATGTCTGCTAGTTTACCCTCAGTGCTGATGGAGCATTCATATCTAGAGCCTGCATGCTGTTTCTGCATTGGTGGCTGCTACTGCCTTGCAGAGTGAAGTTTGTTTGAATTGATTGGTGGAAAAGTGTGTCAGACTGTGGTGGCTGGCTTGATGTTCATGTATGGCATTGTAAAATTGCGTTTCATCTCTTGGTGCAGTGTGTGGAGCATGTAGCTGTGATGTGTAATATGTTGTGAATGCTGGTAAATTAAAGACTGGGGGCAACACATGGGCTATACACTGAAGTGCCAAAAGTCATGGGATAGCTCCTAGTATCGTGTAGGACTCACCTTTAGCACGGTGAAGTGCAGCAACTCGACGTGGCATCGATTCCACAAGTGGACAGAAGACCTCTGGAGAGATGTTGAGCCATGCCATCTGGATAGCTGCCCACAGCTCCCTGGTATTTGTAGGTGCGAATGGACCTCTCCAGCATGTCCCATAAATGCTCAATTGGGTTCATGTTGGACAAACGTGGCCACGCCATTCGTAGGAACTCTCCAGAATGCTCCTCGAACCGATTCTGGACAACTCCGGCCCAGTGACACGGTGCACTGTCCTGCTGGAATATCCCATCGTTGTGGGGGTACATGAAATCTGTGAAGGGCTGCAAATTGTCACCAAGCAGTGTAACGTAGAGGTCACCGCCAATGACATGTTTAGGTGGACGAGCGGACCCAACTCATGCCATGTGAACACATCCCACACCACTATGGAACCACCACCAGCCTGCACGGTGCCTTGTTGACAACTGGGGTCCATGGCCTCATGGGTCTGCCCCACACCTGAACTCTACCATCTGCCCGAAACAACTGGTACCGTGACTCATCCGACCACGCCACATGTTGCCAATCCTCCAGGGTCCAATTAGTGACGTCACAAGCCCAGGTGAGGTGCTGTGTCCGGTGTCGTGGTGTTAACAGGGGCACTATGGTCAGTCTTCTGCTCCCATATCCCATGGAAGCTAAAGAACGCTGCACTGACCTGCTGTATATGTGTCTGGTACCTCCCGCATTGAATGTGGATGTGATTTTAGCCAGTGTCGCTTGTCTGTTACCATGGACAATTCTAGCTAGACACCTCTGGTCACGATCGTCATGATCATTAAGCACCTGTGGTTGGCCACTGTGCTTTCCATGGTGGGTGGAAATGCCTTCCACAGGGCATTCCCGGTACACACGTGACACCGTAGATCAAAGAATGTTGAATGACCGCACAACTTTGGAAATTGAATGTCCGATCCGCCTGGCACCCACTATCATGCCCCGTTCAAACTGTGATAATTCACGTCAGCTTGCCATGACCAGACTTGCCGGTGTTCAACCTGACTCACGAGAGAACACCTCACAAGTGATACTGCTCTGGGCATTCCCAAGCCATCAAGGGACAGTGGCGCCACTTAAAAATAAATTTACATACTGCTATCCCATGACTTTTGGCACTTGAGTGTATATTGCAATGACTAAGTACAAATGCAATAGTCTTGTCTGATGTATTGTGGGTAAGCCATGTTATTTCCAATGTTTGTTCTTGATTTTGCATGCTGAGGAACATTCATTGAGGCTCTCTGTTGTGTTTAATCAGTAGGGCCTGCATCTTTGTGTGCTAAAAATACTTAAAATATGCGCTAAAAAGCGGGAAAATATGCACAAAAAATAAAGCAATATGCACTTAAGAAACAGGTCACTTTATTCAGACTCACCTATTTACATGTATCATTCACTGCAGAAAGTAGCATCACAATAGGCAACTAGAAGTCTTTCAGTGTTTTCTGGAGACAAACTACATCTATTGTCCGTCAAAATGAGTTTATAGGCTGAGACTGATCTTTGTACATCAACTGGCGTGATTGGACAGTATTTATACACTGGCGCCGAAGGTTTGGAACATTCATCTGGTAGAGATACCCTAATTCCACTCAAGTACTGACTAATTGACTGAATCTTTTTTAGTCCTGGGTTCGAATTCAACACCATTTCTAACTTGCATTTAATCTTGTCTCTAATTTCGCCTAGTGCGAAATTCAGTGAACAAGTTGCCTTCTGAACGAGTTCAGGTGAGTAATGAAGGAGTGCACCACAAGATTCTAAGCTCTCAATGGCTTTTGAAAGTGTAGAAAAATGTGCATGGATAAAATTCACATATTGATAAACAGTATCACTTCCAAACATCACTTTTGCTTCACGGACACATGCATACTTATCTTCAAGTTTTGTAACCACTTCTTTTATTTGATCGAAATTCTCCTGATAAAATGAAACTGCGGATAACCATGTCCCCCACCTAGTTAGGACAGGTTGAGGTGGCAGAGGAACCTGAGGTAGGCAATCTTTGTAGAACTGGACACAAGCTGGTGCTTTCCGAAACAGTTTTTTTTTCCCACTTGCAATTAAATCGTTAATAGCTGGAAACTGTGCGCATATTTTTTCTGCAGTACGGTGTAATCCGTGAGCTAAACAGGTTATGTGTATAAGATTTGGATAAAATACTTGTAAGGCCTTTGCTGCTTTCATCATATAGGAAGCTCCATCTGTGAGTAATACTGGCACCTTACAACAGTTATTCTCAATTTCAGATGGCCTTAGTAGTCACAAAGAATCATTTACAAATCTTGCTATTGTGCTATGGTTGGTTTTCTCTAGTAGTTTGCAAGCAAGAAGATGAGGGTTGCCGGGTTCTTCTTACCAACTACGAAATTTGTTATTCATCTGCCACATAAATCGGTTGTCTCATCCTTAGTTATCCTTAATTGCTCTTACCTTAAGAATATGCAATAATGACCAAAACCCCTCAAAATATGCATTTGCATATGCGGATATGCATTTTAAAAAAATCCGGGCCATATTAATCAGGAATAAAATGCGATATTCCTTAGGTTGATTGATTGATTGGCTATTTTACAGTCTATAGTAAGCTGCTGAGGTTATATGTTAATGACTAAGATAAGGTAGGATGATTCTGAATAAAATGAATTGCAGTGGAAAGTGGTCAGGGCCAGTTCTATAGTACTGTACATTTTAGGAATTTGCAGGGAAATTAAAAAAGACCATGAAAATTCTGTTCAACATTACGATTACTGGTCCTTGGGAACCTTGTGAATATACAAGGGTTGGATAAAAAGTAGTGGCAACACTGCTGTAACATGAAAGATGTGCGTCAGGTGGCACTAGCGCCATCTGTAGCTGATAGCAGAAGTTCAGTTGAAGTAGTGCAGTGAGTGGCTCTGCTTGTGTTTCATTGGGTTGCAATGTGCATTGTCTTGAAGTGCAGGAGCCCAGTTCAAGCACCCTAATAACATGTTTACAAAAGAAGAACAATGCTCCTGGATAAAAATTGAAGTTGCATGAGGTCGTAGTGCACAAAACTGTTATCAGGGACTGTGAGAAGCATGTGATGATGCTGCTTTGCCATATCACACAATGGCATGATGGGTGACATTGTTCCGTGAAAGGAGGGATGCCGTTCAAGACGACCCCATGTTGACAACCACACAGTTCAGCTTCTTGCTTCTTTGCTGGATGTCAATTTTCGATGGGCAGTGTGGGAGTTTGCTGCTGAGGTAGGCGTATATCACAAAACCACGCTCCACATTCTGCACGATATTCTTGGATACCACAAAATTGCAGTGCGTTTGGTACCCCACACAATGTCCAAGGTGCGATAATGACCACGTTATGCAGTTGCACAGGACTTGTTGGACCGGTACCAGAGGGAAGGCGATGACTTCCTTGGAAGTATCGTCACTTTGAACAAAACTTGGGCTCGCTCATATGAACTGCACTTGAAGCTACAATCAAATGAATGGAAGCATCCTGGTTCTCCTCATCCAAAGAAAGTGGACTCTACGCAGAGTAGTGTGAAGGCGATGTTCATTGTGACATATGACATTGATGGAGTGATGCTGCACCACACTGTACCTCAATGACAGACAGTAAACTCTGCCTACTACTGCAAATTCCCGTTTAATCATCTTCATCCAGCACTCAGGAGAAAGTGACGACACTTGCTGGCAGTGAATTCCATCATCCTTCATGACAATGCAAGGGCTCATACTGCGGACGCTGTCCTCCTTTGCTGCTGGTGATGGGAGATACTGCAACATCTGCCATACCCGATATGAGTCCATGCAATTATGATCTCTTTGCCAAAATGAAAGAACCAGTGCGAGGGACGCATTACAACACAAGAGAGGAGATTATTCATGCTGTAGGGCGGTCACTGCTGGACATAAACTGAAGTGGGTGCGCTGATGGTGTACGCCTTCCACAAATTTGGCAGACGGTGGTACACATGGGGGGCGATTATATTGAAGGAATGTAAGTGTGTTTACCTCAGGTAATAAAGTCATTTCAGAACTATAGAGGTGTTGCCACTACTTTTTATCCAACGTATGTAAGTCAGTTATTTTAATGCTGTATCTTCTTTGAGATTAAAATTCCACATTCATAGGTGAAACATGTCATCACCAAGATTCGATTTCACTTTAAAGGAGTGTATTGGTTGTGTTCATTAGTAAGAATGTGAGGGACATTGTTGTTCAGTTGTGAATTTAATTACATATTAAAAGTTTTTTTTTAGTTTCCAAAACGTGACATGCTATGCATTAAACAATATTTTTGTGTAAATAGAAAGAACAAAATCATAATGAAGTGCTAGCAAGCAAATTCTGTTGACATTGGTGACAGAACCCCACTGATTTCATGCTACTTTACATTTACAAATTATTATGTTCCTGGATGTTCTGGTAACAATGTAACTTACATGTTGAGGTTATCAGAAACTATAAGTGAATAATTGTACAATTTGGCAATTATTTCTGTGAGTAATTTTGACAAGTATCTACTCTCAATTGCATAAAATTCGCACACTGTGATGTCATAGTTTTCACAAACACGTATGTTTGTAATTGTAACCTCAGTAAAGTTTGACAGAAATTTGTAGATACATTTTTTATCTACGTATATTCAGAATTTTTGATGTTTAGGACCAGTGTTTTGTTAAGTTACCATCATCAGATGGAAAGATTAAATATAGATGTTTTGCACCCACTTGTTGTTACTTTGTGTTATACAAAAGGATGTCTTAATCACAGGAGCACATTTTTCAAAGATTTGTTGCCATACAGCATTATGTGACATTCGAACCTCAAAGTTTGCTTCACTATTATGGTTATGATTTTAATGATAGAAAACCTGAAAATGTTCAAAGGTGATGTGGTCTCTGTTGCCATTAGACCCAGAAAGCCACCAAGTGTTGAAGCTAAAGATAACAGAGAAATTCAGTGCATCCCACACAGTCCATAGCAAAGGATAACAGAGAAATTCAGTGCATCCCATACAGTCCATTTTTTTGTTTGTTTTCCTCACATGTCATTTGTTGGCTGTGCACAACCAGACTCCCTTAAATTTTCTGTTGCGTAGAGATAATTTCATCATGCATTTATATAATCTTATTTTAAATTGACCTTGGCATCTCAAGCTAGAGTCCATTAGTAGATTTCTGCTGCTGTTGTCTTGGACACAAAACTGGGGATTGGCAGCTCTAATGTCATTGCTGCATGACAATTTTGATGGCACACTGCATGGGGAATGTGTTTAAATGATTATAGTGTGGAGAGGTCAACAGGTCATTTTCATGGAGTTGCGTTTTGGCCTCTCAACATGTCCATGGCACTAGGATTCATGGCATTCAAACCAGGCCTTGAAGCAGATTGGAATGTGTGGGCAGATAAATTACAGAGGAAATTGAATTGCACGATGACAGACATGTGGAGGCAGGTGTGGAAATGAAAATATAGAAATTGCTGGTTATTTGCATGCATGTTTTGTTTCAAGTTTTTATAACATTGTAACATATTCAGCATGCAACAGAATGATATTCATTGCTTATAGTATTTGTAGATTTTCCATTGTACAGACACATTGAAAAGTACATTGTTTTGAAATCCTGAATTTCCATTACTTGAGTCCAACATTATTTATTGTTTATCCACATGGTACATTTTCATGTATTTGTAGGCATTTATTTGTTCCATGCCAAGTAGTCCATTTAACAATAGTTGTATGGTGGTGCATGAACCTTTCCAGAGAATATGAAATATTGATTCAAATCCATTTAAACAATAAGTGTGATTCTTTTATTATATCATGTTATAGTAGAGGTCAGGCTAAAGAAATTTCCCCATCCATGAAAAATGTACATTGGACGGAAAGACTTTCATATCCCTGACAGTGTGATTTCAGCAGTGGAGAGACATCCATGTACATGTGTATACAAAGCACTGAGAAAGATATTTGGAATGGTAGTCAAAGCTCTCAGTTTCAGTATCTCTGTTGGTTTGGACAGTTCTGCAGCTATGGAACTTGTTTGCTATTTTCTTTCTGTATAAGTAAGTAGGTATTTTCTTTGCAAAATAAGAGGAAATGCATAGCAGAATTCATAAAGCAGTTAATAGGGGCATGCCAGAAATGTATTAATTTTGAACTAATTGAGAATAATTCTAATCTTGAGGAATAGTTCTGATGGTATTGTCTCATTCACAGAAGTTTTGGGGTTGCAGTGCAATCAGTAAAAAAGTCCATGCTTGATGTCACAAATTTGTTGGGGAATTTAATTTCTTCCAAGTATGAAACTCTTTTATATCTTATAGGTTGCGATTTTTGGAGAGACTGACACATAATGAAAAACACGTGATGCAACCAGGTTACAGATTTGGTTCCGATTACCAAATGAATTAGGGTTTGCTGCTGTACATATTGCTTTTGTATGCGAGTGTGTGTGTGTGTATATATGTATATATATGTCTGTGACGTCTATTCATGTAGGAGCTTTGGTGGCACCTTGCCCAGCCTCTGACTTTACTTGTCTGGATGGTTCGTGTGTGCCATTGGCACGTCGGTGTGATGGTAAAAGTGATTGTCCCAATGGTGCTGATGAACAAAACTGTGGTACGTTTTTTTCAAGCAGTACTTGCAATTTATTATGATCATTTGGGTCTTTTTTTTTGTGATTATTATCATTATTACAGTCAATAAAAACCCCACTGACTACAGTCAGTGTTATTTAGTTTAATGCTTTCGTCACTCCATGTTATAAGTGTCACTCTCATCAACTGTTACCAGAGTCAACTCATAACTAACGTAAGAAATCAATATAGAAAATATCTGATTCCCTGTAAAATAATGACTGTTAACTATATTGTGGATTTCAGCATTTGATCATGAACTATGAAAAAGAAAGCAGTAACATGCTGGGTCTGAACTCCTCACAATGACGACAGTGGCAACAGTGACTATGACTATGACGAGCACCATCTTCAGAATTGTAATGCCATGAAGCCTGGTGGAATTTCGGTGATGTTTTGGCAGAATGTGCTTGCTTTCCTCTTCTTGGTTCTTTGCTTGGCTCACTGTTTGACCCTGAAGATGGATGCAGTACATTCCTTTGAAATGCGAGTGAACTTTATTGGGCCACATGGCGTTACATTCCAGAAGATGCTATACGAAACAGCATTATTATAACCTACATTTTACTGGTCATATAGTGCATGAAGTATTTATGTTAGTATGTCAGTTTTGGCCTGAAAATTAGGAACTTAGTGGTAAGCTCAGTACATCAAACTCCAAATGATTGTGCCAGTTGATATATTGAAGCATACTAGTTAAAGAAAGCAGTCTTTTGGCACCGTGTATATGTGGTGTTAACCGACGTTTCGGAGGAACGTATCGCCTCCATCTTCAGGGTAGAAGAAAAAATATATAAGAAATCTGCAAGCAAAGAGACCGTGAGAACCGGTAAAAGTCTGCTATATTTTTTCTTCTACCCTGAAGATGGAGGCGATACGTTCCTCCGAAACGTCGGTTAACACCACATATACACGGTGCCAAATCCCAGAAGACTGCTTTCTTTATAGTCACCGCCGTGAAAGCCTCAAATCTTACATACTAGTTAAACTTTCAGTTATCACACAGCTGTCAAACCTGATGTCATCTGCCTTTATATGTAAGGAAATTGTAGCAACACATGTTCAGGGCTTCTTAATGGCAGTGATGGGCACTTCATGAAGTTTGATCTTGGCTTCCCCCCCTCCCCCCACACACTTTTTTCAGTTGAAAGAAAAACTTTATATCAATCCAAATTATATTTCTAGCAACAAATGCAAAAGGATAAGAACAGATTGAAAAACAGTTAACTTAAAAATTGTCTTCATGTAAAGTTAATTTTCAGAACACAGTAGAAGTATGATAAGCCCGACATTGCAGTTGGGGAGGATTTTGTACAACCTTTCTGTGCCTACTGTCCAAATATGTGTGAGTCAGGCTTAAAGTATAACTAGTCATTACTAGGGACCGGATTTTTATGCCTTAATAATCCCTTAAATATGTATGCAATTATGCATGAAAAACTTCTGAAATATGCACTAATGCACATAAAAATTTATACCAAATATTAAAATTGATTTTACATTGTTTTAAGACCAACAAATCAATATTTAAGTTCATTTTATGTAATCACTGAATGATTCACTTGCAATAAAAAGCTATCCTTAAATACAAATCATGCAACAAAGCCAACATATATCATTACAAATTTAAAAAACCAATGGTACTCACATTAAGCTCTCTGAACTTTCAACTTCTCTTCTGTTGCAGTTCACAATTACTAAATGTTTTAGGTTTTCCACAGTAAGTCGCCTCCTATTCTCTTGTAAGGATGTACTTATAGCGGGAAAAACTTTTTTCCACCTCACAGGAACTTAGGGGCGCATGTACAAAAGCCGCTATTTGCTCCACTGTTAGTGATTTCTTACTTGGCAGTTCAGTACATTTACTGGCTAAAATTTCTTCAATTTCACAAATTTGTACATATCCTGGATTTTTTGAAAGAATGCTGTGTACTTTTTCCTTTACTACTTCACAAACTCTTCCAGGAACCGAATTCAATTTGGAAACAGTGGTTTTGAATACGAAGAAGTATTGCTATTGCTTGCCTCCTGCGAGGAAATGGCGGATGGAAGATGAGAGAAGTGAGCAGATATACAGGAAAGATTAGTTTCTAGTTCTGCGTTTTTTAGTACATCTTGGGCAATTTGAATTGATGCTGCACTTTTGGGATCAAATGTATTCACAACATTCCTAACTGTTTCTAAATGTTCGGTATAATAACTCACTGCACACAGCCACGTGCCCCAGTGCGTTAAAATTAGTTCTGGCAGAAGTGGAATGCTCGGTGCTACTGCTTTAAAGGCTTCTTTTCTGTATGGCGCTTTAACAGATACCTTCTTCACAGAAGACACCAACTTGTCAACAAGCGGAAAATTTGCACAGATTGTTTCTGCAACACGTTGCCACCCATGGGCAAGGCAAGTCAAATGTGTCATATTTGGAAATATAACTTTAAGAGCAGTACCGGCTTTCATCATATAACTTGCGGCATCAGTCACAAAGAGCAAGCAGTACGCGCTCATACCGAATGCCATTCGGCCATAGCAAATTCATGGAATTGATAAAAAATTCGGAAACTGCGGAGCTATTTGTGGTTTCAAATTGCTCTACCGCAAGAAGATATGGGGTAGACGGTTCATTCTTATTAAGGGACCCAACTATACATTTGGCAATAAACCGTCCCTCACAATCTTGTGTTTCGTCGATTGATACCCACACAAAATTATCTTGAATCTTATTTCTAATGCTTTCAATTGTAAGATCGTAACACTACTTCAAGTAATTTTTGTGCACAGTAGATTCATCTGAGACTTTGCACTGTGTATACTTCTCTGTGTAGTTTCTCAGAGTAGGATTGGTTGGTTTCCAGAGCAGGATATCTGCCGCTAAAAAGGCCTTGCCTAAATCAAAGGAAAACTGTGAAAAACTATTGTTAGAAAATTCACTAAGCAATTTTTGAACAGGAGCACTTTTCGTGGATTTAATTTTAATACTATCTATATATTAGTATATATTATATATAAGTGATGCCTGAAGCAGCGTCATCAGCAGCGACTTGAAGCACAGAGCAAATGATGCTCGAGATGGTTCAAGTTCGTATAGCAACAGGTGTGACCAGAGTGGTTTGAACGGCTGTTGTACTGCGATGTGGAAAGCAAATGGAAAAACTACCACATTATCACTTTTCCTGGATAGTCTCTTTCCAAAAACGGAGATACCATGTATGTGAGAGGGGTGGATATAAGTGACCAGAAGACGAAGAAGATATAAGAAGATGCTGGATGATCTTGGGGCAAAAGAGGATATTTTTATTTGAAGGAGAAAGCTCTAGATCACATTAAGTGGAGGAACTGTTTTGGAAGAGACTGTGGACCTATCGTCTAATAGATTACTGATGAATGAATGAATGAATGAATGAATATTAGTTTTCAAATGCTGAAGCACTTGAAAGCGTTTTTCACAACCAACTGTTCTCTCACACTCTCGGTAGTAAAGAATTTCGTTATCCATTATCTGCAATAGTTGTAAAGACTTTAGATTTTACAGCCAGTTGTATATTATTTATATTGTATGTATATATTTTAACTTTTAGAGCATGTAGTGTAATAGTGTCTTCTAAATGCATTGATGTAAAGGTGTCCTTCTGAAGTTGGTCTCTGAAGACTGAAACATGTAAGGGCATGAATAATTAAAATAAGAAAATCTTAACCAGTCACACTGGATGGAACTACTTAACTTTTTCAAAATGTATGCAGCTCACTTTTGTAGTTGGTTGCTTTGTCAGTGGAAGGATATCTGATATGAGTACTCCATGTTATGTGTGAGTTTCATGAAGTGGATTCCATTTTAATGTGCTCAGTTAATTTAGACCAGCTTCAGTTAATATCACTCACTCTGATATGAATTGCTTGCTGGTTGGTCAAGAGTGGCAGGGAGAAGGGATAGTATTTTCTTGGTGTCAGAGGAAGAATGAGAGGGGGAAAGGAAAATTTGGCCTAGCATGTGTTTGATTTATTTGACTTCACCCACTGCAATTCTTTGGCGCACAATTAGGCTTAAAAATCAAAGAGCATCTGTATGAAAATACTGAACTGATAAATGGAAAGTCATGTATCTTTAGACCGATCAGTCTGCCCAGAAGATGGTTGTGAGCCCTCCGAAGAATAGAGGTGGTGTTCTCATATGTAAACTGAAGCACTTATTTGTGCCCATATTTTAAAATGCGTTTTTGAAAGTTGGCTGTGTATTGATACATTTTTCAACTAGCTTGACTTGCATTGCTGAAAATTCTCATATTAAGAACACTGAACAATATCAAAATTTAATCTAGCACCTTATGCTATAAAAATCATCATCAAAATAAATTATTATTATTCTTGTCGTTACTATATTTTATTTATTTTGCTTTGAACTTAGCTGTTATCTGTATGTCCATTTATATCAAGTGTTCAAAATTATGTTCTATATTTGAAATGGGCAAGATAGAATGGGGTGGTATCGACTGGATTGTTCTTGCTAAAATTAGGGACTGGTGGAGGGCTCTTGTAAATACAGTAATGAACCTTCGGGTTCCATATAATCTTTGGAAGTTCTTGAGTAGCTGCACAACTGGCAGCTTCTCAAGAAGGGCTCAGTTCCATGAAATTAGTTTGAAATGGGCGTTAGGGTATGTGTATGCTAACAGCACACCAAGATTTGAAGTCTGCCACAGTAGCAATGAAGAGTTTCAAACCTTTAAGTACTGCAGATGGAGCCAGGATAGCCAATATGCATAGTGATTAGGCTGGACGATTGAGGAATGGAGGTTGGATTCTCAGCAAGGACAAGACATTTTTCTCTTCATTGTTGACGCTTTGACTGGCTCTGGTGTGCACCCTGCCTCCTGTACAATGGGTTGTTTCCCCAATGGTAAAGCTACCCACTCATATCCATTTAGTGCTAAGGTCAAGAATGGTGGAGCTGTACATTCACACCCTCATACATCTTCATTTCATGGTGCTTAATTGACTAAGCCCAAGGATAGTTAGTTAGTTATTGGAGAGGGTGGGTTTCCCCATGCACTTAGACCTGTATTGGTCCATTGTGCTTCCCTCTATGATTTCTACCAGTGTCTATATCCTACCGGTACTGGTGCTTACCATCAGTCCCGCCCAGCCAGTGAGACCGGCTCTACTAGCTTAGAGGTGTCTATAATGCTTCCCCCATCTACCAGAGGTATTAGTGACTGCTGTTGGGCGGGAAACGTCTGTAATTTGGCTCAGTGGCCTCCTTTGGAGGTATGAGGTTCTTTTACTTGCCGTAAAGCTACGACACGGGACCCACGGCTTAAAGTCCCTCCCGGAGGACTTGTTCCCTGAATTTTTTGGCCCTTAAAAATTCGACGACCTCTGCCGGGTATTTGAACCTGCGTCCTACGAGTCATGAGGTGGGAACGTTACCTCTAGACTACGGAGGCCGCTAAGCCCAAGGATAACTTCACTTTTTTTACCTACTGCAGATACAAGGCATTCTAATTCTGATCTACGTGAAACTTCTATTACCGTCATATATCTGTAACAGAATTGCTGTATGGTAAAGGCAGATGAGATTTGAGAACTTCGCAGTGGAGAGAATTAAGTTTCTATGGATTACAAGAACATGTAGCTTCACGGGTTGTTATTACCCAGACCCCAAAAATTGTGTGATGTGTGCTGACCCATTGAGCTAATAAAGGGCAGTGAATTTCAAGGAATTGTGAATATGTAGTTGATTTGTCATTCTGCAGGTGTTGAACCTAGACCACCTGCTTGTGGACCTGGGAAGTTCAGATGTGATGATGGTGCCTGTATTGACGATGATTATCGCTGTGATGAAGTTACAGATTGCCGTGACGGTAGTGATGAAAAGTACTGCGATGGGCCACCTGCTGCCAATGGTATGTGAAAAACACTTTGTTGCTAGCAGAAGGTTGTGATACTTGTCATCTGACTACAGGAGTGTTTCAGTTGAAATTAAATGGAAGACAAGAAGACTGAACTCACTCACCTGGAAACAGTCATTATTACTGAAACCACTATTGAGTTAGGAAAATTGAATCCCCATAATGACATTTTGTTTTCTGAAGAAATTAGTCGTTTTTCAGGTGGTTTGACACCAACGTTCTAGGTGCATGTTTTGTGTCCCAGTTAAAATGCAGGCTGAGCCCATTGAAATGTTCATTTGCCTGCCTTGTCATAGGATTCCATTCTGTTTTCAAATACTTGAAACTCTTCATTCAGAGGAAGGAGATAATGTTTAAGACCTGTCCAAGATATTGGGATAATGAGATACAAATTGTATGTTGTTGTATATAAAAATTGTAACAAAAGGAAGAAGAAAGCTGTTGTAATTGGAGATGGGAGTTCCTGTTGATGACCTGTTTTTTCTGATGTGATAACTTAGCTGAACTTTAAATTCATCATTCATGTGAACTGTGTGAGTTACAGGGAGACATTTACACATAATTTTATATGGAATTACTGGGTTTTTGGGCTTTGTCCATCATCAGTATTTGAAAAAACACTAAAGGACACAACATTTCTGAAACGGAATCAGTTTCCTTCCTCAGGTGAAGGCATGGGAAATGCCTGCTCTGTTGGGTCCATTAGAAAGAGCTAACCTTAATCAGTGACCAATCCAGTGACTGAAGTTTTCAAATGGACCCAACAGAGTAGATGTCTCTCTCCCCTTCACCTGCGGTTGGAAACTCATCCAGTTTCTTAAACATTGTGTTCCTTAGTGTTTTTTGGAATACCAGATAATGGGGAAAGTCCAAAAACCCAGTAATTCCAAGTATTAGGTACACTATTGTCAGAACCCTTTAGAACCTACATAATTAACATACTTCAACAGTAATATATTTAAATGAATGCTTTGCTTGCAGGCCAGGTGCTAGACCTGAGGGAATTTTCATATAGTGTGTATTTCTATTTGCATATCTATTATAGAAGTTTGTACTGTGAATTTGAATGCGATAATAGAACAGAGAGGATAAAACAATTAAATTAATTGAACTGACAGTTGCTTTTGAATCACTTAGCAGTACAACTGTGCCCAATGCAGTCAATTTTTATCAGCTTTGGTTTTTTAACAAGGTGGGGTTATCTTCTTGAATGCTGTCTCTCTTTATAGTGATAATACTATTTACTTAAAAAAATTCATAAAACAGATTTCTGTGAGCACATAAAGAGAATGAAGTTCTTTATATAAAGTGCTGGTTACTTATTACCAACTAGTGACTTTCGTTGCTTTGTTGTAATGCACTGTTCTAAAGCTTCTTAGTGCTTGTATGAATGAAGAGAGAGAGAGTTATCTGCCTTCACTAGATGCTCTTCCTGTGTTCTTGATTAGCTTTTCACTTATTGCTTTATGTTCTGTTTGTCTTTGCATTTTATTTTTGCTTCGGTTAGTTACTTGTGCTCCTGGTGATATTGTGTGCGGAGATGGATCTTGTGTTGACCCAAGGCAACGATGTGACAAATATTTCGACTGCCCAGATGGAACTGATGAGAGAGACTGTGGTAAGTTTGGGGATACAGAAAACACATAGCTATGTTAAGCAAAGAAATGATTTGTTGTTTTGTATGATTACACACTGTGCAGAAATGATGCATCCAGTTTTACGTGACTCATGGGAGTTGTGTCAGCTTGTTAACAGGGTAAGAGCCACTTAGTAAAGATAGGGTCAGTTTACAGCTATCTGGTCAGTGTTCTGGTTGTTAGCAAGGCACAGCTACCTGACCCCTGTCCATGACAGAAGAAATGGAATTCTTGTCTGTCCCGTCTCTGATAATGCCAGCAGTGTAGCTCTGATCAGTCTGCAAGCATCTTACGTTGTATCTTGAAACCTGTTTGAATGAGGCCACATTTGTGATAGGATGACAGGATTTTCTTGAAATTTTATGAACTTAGGGTATAAGTTTTTTTGTGAGATTAGAACTGTCTGCAATGCCTATGGCCGTTGGCTTTATATGATTTCACTTATCTTAACTGTCAGCTGTCATTTTCTTATTTCAACTGATTTTCAATCTATTTCAAGATGATCATTTTCAGTATATCTGGAAGTAAAATTGTACATTAAATACTGCAGAACTACTAATTCTGTGAAAGATTTTTATGATCTGTTGAATTAATTCTGTACATGTATGGTGGTGTTGGATTTACATGCAGAATGCAAGCTTGAAGGAAGGCAGGTACAATGGGACAAAAGTGACCCCTTCATTATGTGACATTTGTTTTTAATAGGAGACTGAAATATTTTGGTTAGATACGTGTATGTATGAGTCTCAAACATGTGAACTTCCAAGTTTTTTCAGTCAAGTAAAAGTAATTTGAAAATCTGTTACTGGAAAGGAGGTTTGAACTTTGTCAGAAATTTGTGTGGCAATGCACATCATCAACTACAGAATGAACTGACATCTTCATGTGCACTAGTCAGAGTGTTAAGAAGTTCAATCAGAGGCAGGATGCAGATTGTGAAAAAATGTTTGATGTGAGGGTTGGCAAATTGTGTTCTCTTGCAAAGGCGCACACAGAAGTAACTCCACATTCATTCTTCACACAAATAAGAACAGTATAATAGTATAGTTATGTTTCAGGAGGGGAAATGTCTTTTAATGTCCAGAATATTAATCTTTCTTTTGAGCTTACATTGAATTAACTATAGAAGTCTCTAAGCAAGCAATTAATTTTCTAGAATAAAATATAATTATTTGATTGAAGGTAAATAATAAGCTTTTTTGTTTCATTTTGGTCCGTCACACTAACAGTTACAATTATAAAAGACAAGTCCGTCCAGTGTGACTATTTCAGTTTTCTCACTTGATGATTCACTAGCCTTACATGTTTCGATCCATTTGGATCATCTTCAGAGGCACCAAACACTTTTTTGAAACCACTATCACAACAGTTGTCAATCAAATACACATGTAATGTCCAAGTACACAATGTTCAACCTGAAATAGTCACATTGGACGGACTTGTCTTTTATAATTGTAACTGTTAGTGTGACGGACCAAAATGAAACAAATCAAATTCATCGAAGCCAGTCAAGCTAAATTGGTAAATCAATTCATCAACTCAAAAAGGAAACTAGTAAGAACCAATGCACATACATGGTCCAATCGAACATGTAAAAACAAAAACATCATACCTAAGTACGCCAACCTAAACATAATAAATGTCAGTAAATTAGACCTTAAAGGACCGGTCTCTTATTATGTCTCTTAATAATTCTACAAGTTTTATTTTAAACAGGTATAATTGCAATTTAATTTAACTTATTTGAAGAATGTTATGTGCAGTTATGTATATGGAGTAGCAAATCTCTAGCCATGAGCTATCCTTGAAATGATCAGTCCTCTTTCATAGTTCTGACATTGCAGTAAAGAATTAATTGTAGTGCAGTTTTCTTGCTTAGTTGTTTATGCCTTGTGTTGTGACTGTTGTTACGTCTGCTTTTTGCTTGTTTTCACATGAATTGGTAACAGAATTGTGTTCTGCTGCTGAGTTCCGATGTGAAGATGGACAGTGCATCCCTGAGGAGAAGCGGTGTGACACAAGAACTGACTGTAGCGATGGTTCAGATGAACTTGATTGCCGTATGTTTCACTTGTATATCTGTCTTGAAATACATTCTACATGTAAATTTAATGATGTCAGAGAGGAAATGGTACTTACTTAGCTTCAGCAAGAGGCAACACAAGAACTGAATGTTGCAGTCTAGTGACTAGCATGTTTGCTTTGTATGTAAGGGGTCATAAGTTCTGGTCTCATCTATCCTAACTGAGGCTTCACTTTATGTAGGCTACAAGTGCATCCATCCCAATTGACTTTTCACTAGATCCTGCCATTTAATGCTGTGAAATCTTAGCAGTTGACAGTTATTAAGTAAACCAAGAAGAATATCACAGCACAGTAATGAAGGTAAACTCCTAGGTATGGCCACAAGCACTAAAGATTAAGTTTTGTGCAGTTTTCTTTGGTAGCTTTGGACAGATGCAAGATTGATACCTTCATGTTGGTCATGACCACTTTCTTAGGTGTCCACTGTAATTCATAATCATCTTGTCAGCCTAACATGTATAAACTATACAGTTCTGTTGAATAAACGTACACTACAACACCTCTTGTACAGGAATATAGTTAGAAAATTGAGGGAAATTATTAAAAATGGCTCAGCATATCTCAGTATTGTAATCTGTAACGTCTGTTTGAAACATTTTGTTGTGTGGTGCGTAATGTAGAGACTGCAAGGAAAGCATTCTTTGCAAACTATAGTACACCTTTTGAGTTTTGTGTCACATCATCACAGGCATCTCCTTGTGTGGAGTGTGGTCTTACAACCATAGGAAAACATGGTGAAAGTGCATAAGCAAGATGCCATGCTAGTGTATTGGTGGTGTGTTTTTGGCCTCAGCTACAGATGTAACTGTTGATCTGCTTTATGCTTACCTATAGTGCTTCTGGACAGGAGGGTGGTTGGTACTCAGAGCTATTTGAAAAGTGGTGGCTGATAGCTCCTGTCTAGAAACAGGCCTTTCTTTTTTTGTCCAAAACTCTTTATTTCTTTGAAATGCTAAACATCAGGAAGACTCCTATAGATTTTATCATCTACAAATACAGAATATACTCGTGTGTGTATGTTACTTAACAAGATAAAATTTTTCTTGTGCCTCCATAATGTCTCTTGTCTTAAGTAAGTGCTGTTTCTCTCGCTTTCCATTAGTTATGTTTTGTGTAATTTCTGTACTGACACTGAATGTGTGTGCTTTCTAATGACAGTGAGCAGTGCTTTTGTGTGTGCGCGCACATGCATGTGTGTTATAGAATTTTGTAGAGCCCCCAAAATTATTTAAAAGGCAGAGTTCACGTTTATCTTGCCAGACCAGTCTTACATACATTAAAAATCATAATTTTGCTCTTATCCCAAGATAGTTATATATTTCTATGGAAGTTTCATGGAAGTAGTTATTGATTTTCACTTAAGTGGCTAAGGTGGTATGTCTCTTAATTATGGATATATCTTCTTCTCTCACTCTCTTTATTCCCTCTTTCTCTTATTTCTCTTCCTTTCAGTTCACAAGTCTGATTGGCCTAGTGTCCAGCATTTCTTTTGCTACTTGGGGTTTTCAATTTTCAACGTTTTCCCATTCTTATACTTCATCAACCTTGATTGTTCAAGCCTGTTAAATTAAGATCATCCCTTCCATCATTTCATAAAAGGAAGAAATATCTCTGAATCTCATGACTTTGCAAATAATGTATACTGGTCTGCAGTAAAACTTGAAGACTTGGGCATCATGCATACCTGCATCTGTCTGAACCTCGATAATGTTTACAGGAATGCTTAAAATGGTTCCAAAAGGCTAGTGAAACTTCTTGACTGTTGTTGCGGGAGAATTACCGTATGATGATGTCCACTGGCAGTAAAGCTCTGTTCTCATATTTGTGAGATGCTTGACTCAGATTTTCAGCTGGGGCTCGAGCTATCCTTACTGAGGTTCTTCATGGTTTCGTTTAGTTCCTCCAACCCAATGTCATTATATAATAGTATTCTCATTAGACCATAACCATGAACCGCTCCCCACCTTATATCTCTCTCTCTCTCGTGGTACACATACCGCTAATCGTACTAGCCTTTACTAGCACATCAGAAGATAGAAGTGGGGAGGAGCAGCCATTGTCTCTGGCTCTGTTGTCGCGTTCGCAAGCTCCTCAGGGTGTTCATGGGGTATTCAAGCATTTACGGAGGAGATAATACGTGGGGCAATCCAAAAGTTCCCGAAATTTGAATTTTGCGCGCGAATGGTTATGAGTACATCGCTAGGTGTCTCCTCACACATCCTTCTTGAATCAGTGTGGCAAGCGGCATTGAGTTGAGTGGTTGGGTTTATTGTTGGTGAATGTATTTCCATTGTTTGTTTCCGTGAGTTTGCGGTTTTGCGATGGCTGACCTGAGAGAGCAGCATGTCTGTATAAAGTTTTGTTTCAAACTTGGGAAAATCGCTGCAGAAACGCACCAAATGTTGAAGCAAGCTTTTTGTGAAAACAGTTTAGGCCAGACACAAACTTAAAACTGGTATAAGCGTTTTAAAAATGACCGAACATCGACTGATGATGATCGTTCGAGACGGCCGTCAACGGGCAAAACACCAGAAAATGTCGCGAAAGTTAGGGATCTGATTCTGCAAGATTGTAGACTGATCATTCAAGACCTCTGTAACACCTTGGGACTAAGTTATGGTACATGTCAACGAATTGTGTCAGAGGAACTGAACATGAGGATTGCGGCAAAGTTTGTGCCATGACTGCTGCAAAATGAACAGAAGCAGCATCGCTTGGAAGTCTGCAGGGAACTTCAGCAACAGCTCCAAGAGGATCCAAACTTTCTTTCGAAGGTTGTCACTGGTGATGAAAGTTGGGTTTATGGCTACAACCCTAAAAGTAAGCAGCAATTGTCGCAATGGAAGAGCCCTTCTTCACCTCGGCCAAAAAAAGCTCGACAAGTCAAGAACAACATTAAGTCCATGTTGATCTGTTTTTTTTTATATTGACGGGATTGTTCATAAGGAGTTCGTCACTCCTGGTCAAACAGTCAATAAAGAGTTCTATCGCGATGTTCTAAGGCGTTTGAGGGAGAACATGAGGAGAAAACGTCCATAAAAGTGGCGCACGAACGACTGGGTACTCCACCATAACAACGCACGACCGCATACCGCTTACATTGTGCAGGAATTTTTGGCTAAAAACAAGATGGCAGTTCTACAACTACTGCTCTCTGCATTCCAAGCCATTCAACTGCTCTGAAGATGGAGGTGATACGTTCCTCCGCAACGTCGGCCAAAACGAAGAATACATGGCGCCTAAACCCAGAAGACGACTTTC